GTGGAAACTGCAGGAGTGGAGAACGCACCAGTGGAACCCGCAACGGTTGACATTGCAGCAGTGGAAACTGCAGGAGAGGAGACTGCAGCAGTGGAAACTGCGGTAGCAGCAGATGAGCAAGCAGGGGCAGGACGAGAGCGTCATGCGGGCGAAGAAGAAATTGGATGATACAAGGACCATCGCAGCATGCGTGAACCACTGAGAAAAAAACATCACATGCATAGGATAGCAACGTTGGCGGGAGCCCATGTAGCAGGTCCACCCCTTGGCAAGGGTTGTTGGGGAATGCCCACGCGAAAGCATGCGACAAGTGTTATTGCCGCAGTTCGAAAGTCCTCCCAATTGTTACAGATTTGTTCAAATCTGGTCAATTGCCCAGTGAACACACCAGCCGGTTGATGGGAAGGGATGTTGGAGGCCGCACTTGGATAACGAATGACAGGGAAGTCCCAAGCAGCCGCTTTATCAAACACGCTCATGCGAAGCGAACCATCAGAACGTACTCGTAGATGCATACCTAAAAAGGCACACGAGCCCATAGTGCTCTGGTGGACGAGATAATTGTCCCCACGAAAAAACATCATCAATGAGGTGATAGGTGAAGGCATATTGCTGAGCGGCTTGAAGATCATGTTGACGAATGTCATCAACAAAGCGTGCTTCATCCCAATACAGCACCAGATTAGAAATTTATGGGCCAGCATTCGTTCCCATTGGAATACCGATAATTTGCATATCGTCGAACAGAGCTGCCCGGTAAACCGTAGGCAGAGAGGGAGAAGAGGACAACAAACGAGGGGCTATGACAAACTGTTTCATCAGAGTTTCACCGACTCATCAGGAGGCTGAACCCTCAACAGTCTGCAGTATCCCCTAACTGATTGCACTGTAAGTGATAGTCCACCTCGACCCCGGGTGTGGTTAAGCATCAACCACTGCCCGACAACTGATACCCTGAGGTGAGCACCAACCACTGCCCTCAAGGTACCTCTGACGAAAATCAAAGCAGACTATCACTCACCCACACCAGATAAAAAACTCTACAGACTGTCGGTTCACACCCCATCACAACCCAGCAAAACACCCACGAAACAAAGAAAATGTCACAGCCAAAAAATACACTTCACACAAGCCCCTGGGGCTAGAGGCACATCATGGCCGCGTAGTGACGGCCCCGACCACTGCCGCTCGACCTGACCGGAGAAAACCGTAGCAGGGTGCTAGCAAAGTCATGGTATATATCGTCAAACAGAGCTGCCCTGTAAGACAGAGAGGGAGAAGAGGACAACAAACAACAGGCTGTGACAAACTGTTTCGTCGGAGTTTCACCAACTCGTATATGTTTGACGATATATATACTGTCAAACAGAGCTTCCCGGTAAACCGTAGGCAGAGAGCGATGTATATAGGTGAAGTTCAGTAGGGCTGACACAAGGGCCCGGCCGGATGTTTGGCCTGGTTGTCCGATTGGACAACCTGGACGGTCAGGGGGGGGCCGCGGACGTCCAATCAGGTAACTCGGAACAAAAGAAAGGATTGGCATATTGCCATGTCACCCAGTCTTGACAACAGGTTGACAATATCTTCAGGAACAAAAAACGATGCAGCTAGAAAATGAAAAGCATAGCAGTCAAAAACCGTGAGCAAAGTGGATTCGGCAGAAAATGAAAACCCTGTCAGGCAGTGTCAGTAAAAAATTGTGCTTCAAAACAGCAGTTTTGAGCAACAATGATGACTGCAATTCTGAAGGCACAGCCACTACTGTCACTGCAAAGAGATCGAACACCTGGTATTATCATCCCCTTCCACTCTACTATTTCACTGAGGAAGGAGATGACGCGCAACTGCAAGGTCAGCAGCAAAATTATCGCGAACATATTTCAAGAGAGGCAGCGTAAATATGGCATCCAAAAACAAGACAACTGATCCCATGACAGTGCAAAGAGAAAAACGAGGGCTACCATTGACAATGCACACACACACACACACACACACACACACACACACACACACACACACAATATTCTGCTAGCCCTGTCACATAGTTTAAGACGAAAGGGAAGCAAAGGCCTTGACAGTAGACATGTGTCAATAACGGCATAAGAACCCATAGAGTTGGGGGACATTCGGACACTGGAACTACGTTTGAGTGAGGTCACACGCACTTACAATCATCTTGCTCTGTGCATGTGGTGAAGGGTAGGGGGACAAAGGGAGAGGCAGGGAAGGAGGAGAGGGAAATGACTTTATAACACACAGACCTCCTGCCATCAGGATTGAACGCAAGTGCATTGATGGGACCAAAATGCCCCTTCACGCCTCCAATCTCCTCTTCAAAGATCTGAAGAAAGAAAAGCCAAAAACAAAAAAGAACATGTGCAGTCAGTACAATACTTTACAGAGGGCACTGGTCACATAATGCAGTGCATACGGCCATAGTTCTGTACTTCACCCAGACAGACAATCCATCAACATCCAAAAAGACAACAGCATTTTCTCCCCTTCGCTTGGCCTTTTCCACATCAACCGTTTAGGAAGATACCCATCATTCTCTTTGACCCACTTTTGTTCGAGCAGCCTCACCTTGTGGTAAAACTTGGCTTCAAACTTTCCAGCACGGGAGGACGTCGTTGTCACATCTCTTGCCTCCTGACCTCCTCCAAGCACAACCTGAACACAAAAACGAACAGGCAATCCGTTGAGCTAGTACCCAGTGCTGCTGTCACAAAATGGCAGTGAATTCCATACGAATGCAGGCAACCGCTCTTGAGAACAAACAACAGACCGTGTCATTTGACGACAACCTCCACCTAACAAGTGTAACCTGAACATCCAAGTTGAGCTACCCTTGATACCTTCCCTTCCGTACCCTTGATTGCCACAACAGAGCCCGTGAACATGAGAAATTTGGGAATCCTGCCCTTTCTCATCCCTCTCCTGAACCACGGACAGAGTAAAACATCAACCACTTGCAACGGACACAGACACTTGACTTTTACAAATCTCTACTGAGATCAGACCAAGTCTCCCCGAACCAGAACATCGCATGGTTGGCCAGTGCCCATTCAATTCACTCTGAGAGAAGGAGGCAGAAGGCAACGATAGCAAGGACACCCACATGATCAAGCAGCGGTGAAATAGCAGCAGCGTTGATCGGCCTTTCTGCTTGGTAAGTCTTAAGGAGCTCGAACGTTCTGGTGTCAAAGAGCTGCACACAAGCCGACCAGAGGAAAGAATTCATCACAATTTCATCCTATCAATGAGCATCCAAAAGAGGCAAGGTACAGACGAATAGCAACAAGTCCTCCAAGGACGTATCTAACAAAGAAATATAATACGTAAGGCTCACTAGCTAGACAGGACCACGCAAAAAGATCGATTCCACATTTGCTTGCCTTCCTGAATGTCTGCACGCACAGCTCAACAGCCTTAAAAATTCAGGGACTACCAGCAGCACGTATGTTCACGGTGAAGATCACTTATAGCTCCTCCGAACATAACACATGATTAGCTACTTCCGAATGGACCACATGCACGCTCATGCTTTTCACTGTATCTGGCCTACAGTTTCCACACAACTCAGTCAAACCGCCAACTTTTGCCATTGATAGGGTGATTGACCTCCAGAAGGTTATAGAGGCTCACTTGCTCAACAATAATGCACATAATCCTAACATGTATCATGGATACCTGAACGAGCTCTTGCCAGAAAACGGACTTCAAGAGGAATTACATGGGGAGAGGGAAAAAGGAAAACGGGACAAGATCCCAGCCAGAACAACACCAGACCTTGGGGACCCCCTGGCAGAGAGCATATCAGTCTGCCAGTGATAGGGTGAGCGTACAGGTTGCCTGGCATCAAATCGGTTCCATGTTACTCTGTCAAACGGTGGGTGACGAATTAGATCTATCAGTCCAGTCCTCACAGAGCGTACGCTTAGTAAATGAGAGATGGTTAATGGCAGGCCAAAAATTCAGTGTTTTTCGGCGCATCGCACAAGGAACGGGGTGGGAAATTCTCGAAACAAACAATGCAGGCACACCACCTATTAACCACGTGTGGAGCACGCAGTCGTACTTCGAAAACCTCCAAAAGAAGCCAAAACAACACCCTAAATCCAAATACAAAAAATGAAAGGTAACTTCATTATGGTAGTATACCAACCAGTTTGGAAAAACACAAAATGGTTAGTGAAGGGCGAAGCTCAGTGTATGAGCGGCGCCTTGTTATCACGAATTCAAGATCAAAAGTTTTTGTGCCATGTCTATACGTCACTGGGCATGGTTACGACCTCAGAGTCCACTGTTATCTCTTACCGTCTTTCACCGGACACAGCACCCTCATTATGGATGTACTGAACCAGAAAAATAGCTACGACCTCAAGAGTCCACTGCTATCTCTTACTGTCCTTCACCAAACACAACGCACCACACACACTATGGATGTTACCGAACCAGAAAAATAGATTGTACACGTTCATTATCAGGGTCCCTTACGTTTGGGGGAAGACGGTAGCTGTTGAGGATCTGGCCCGACCTACTGGGCTAACTGTGCTCGACTGTAGCGCTAACCATTCTGGTCGGTCTCATGCTCATGTACTCTAGCACTATTGGTGCAGCTCAATCTAAGAATGGCCTTCAGGGATATTTCACAAAGTCTGAAATATGTGTCATGATTCCTCTCACCTTGGCACTCTTGTCTGCCGAAGCTGTAATGAAATGTGACCCATCTGCTGACATCGAAAGCGTCTGAATATTCTTTGAATGGGCCTCCTTCATATTGAGCTCCTTTCCATTCTGCACAGACAAGAAACAGCATATTTTTGTATCGCAAATCGCCAACGTCAAAATTTTTTTCTTCTTCCAGTTTTTATTAATTCCATCCAAGTTCATACAAATGAAAGACCACCACCCACAAAAAGATAGTATGAATCGATGCTCAGATCGATGCCCCCACTTCACATCACAATTGAGCTAACTGAAACCACCCCGCCCTTGCACTGTAGATTGTACTCGTAGGCGAGTACCAGGGCTAAATCTGCACTGCATAGGCTTGGGGGAGGCTCGGTGTGCCCAAACAAAAAGAAGAAAGTATGGCCCGTGATATTACTCCAAACGGAAATAGTGAGGTGCAAAAGGAACAAAAAAGAAACAGAACTACCACCAAAAAGGAAAGAAATCCCGTACAGACGTGCCAGCTCGGCAGGGTGGACCTGAGACTGGATGTCACACTCATGACTCGACAGCGCAGAAACGTATCTCGACGACGCAGGACGCCACCTACATATGGAATCTTGTGTTTGGTTTTCTTCTGTTAATTTTGTTCATGGTCTTTTGATTTTTTCTCGTTGTGAAACCGCCCAGCTAGATCGGCTGGGGGGGATTTGGTCGGGAGTGTGGCAAGGGCTGAAGCAGGACCTCACTGCAGCACTCGCAACATGCACCAAACAATTTTTTTGGGCGCATCTGAACTCAGGTCTGAGTTTCAGTGGTACCAGCACTACTGTGTGTGTGGAACAGGGCCTGGCAATGAAGGGCATACCCATGATGCGCGATCATGGGTATGCCTTTCATTGCCAGGCCCTGTTCCACACACACAGTAGTGCTGGTACCACTTCAGAATTGCAAACTGGGTGCACTGTATATTTCAGAGTCCGGCTTTTCGTTCGTCAATTTAGCTTCGGATGGACTGGTGGTTTATACCACCAGTACCTCACCCGGGCAACACTTGAGAATCAAAATCGTGACAATCCGGGCTCTTCTGATGAACAGTGCTACGGGACCAAAATAGCTGGCGGGACCACCAAAAGACAAAGAAACGCCGCCGCATGCAAGGGGTATCCGGCTCGGAAAAAAACAGGCTCGAGAGTGAGGGTGGTTTAAACCAGTCAGACATTACATCTGCGCAGCCTGCACCTCAAGAGGAAGCTGAGTGAGACGTTCTGTTCAACGTTAGGTATAGATCACTGTTGGGGAGTGGGGGCTAGGGTTTGATCCGTGCACCATACATAGCATAGGGTGACGGTAGCGTAGGTATGGGGTATTAGAGGAATAGGGGCGGGGCGGAGTTTGGGGGGGGGGGGGGGGGGGGGGGGGGGGGGGGGGGGGGGGGGGGGGGGGGGGGGGGGGGGGGGGGGGGGGGGGGGGGGGGGGGGCGACGGCTAAACTGGAAAATGCTGGGGATGCAGTAAAGGACGAGGTACACAAAAGTTTCCGCGCTTATTAGAGATAATGCAACGAAATAGCAGATAGTGGAAGTGGGACAAATTAACACTTTAGGGCTTGAAGACGGGGGTGAGACGCGGAGGTAGCCTCTGCGCGCTTCAACTACAGGTTTTGAACTAGGACAGGAAAGAAGAGTCGGGACTATTTGAAAATGGATGACGAAAATAGGGAAAGGGACTAATTGGGATGGATTGATACACCTGCGCCGGCCAAGGTGGCTGCTAGGCCTGCCTGCTATCTCCCGCAGTCTTACCTGCCCTGGGATCACCCTTATGAGCAACCGGGTAGCGCTTGCGTGTTTCTCGGCCAGAAGGATGACAACGAAGCAGGCAGGACCTAGGGGAGACCAGCTCGGCTGGCAGCCCCCCCTTGACGGCGTCTACTGCCCCAAGGAAATGGCTTCCCTGCCTTTTCGACTTTTCACTCTTTAACTTTTCTCATGCTTGCAGGTGATATACGCAACCGGACTGTTGCCCCTCAGAACAGAGCGGGTTTTCGAGTTTTCTTTTATTTTCAAAAGCCCCTTATGGTTGAAAAAACGAAATCCCCTCATACATAACCCAAAGCACTGGCCGCACAATAATGAGAACTAGTGCTGAGGTTGTTGACGCCCTCGCTCTAAATCATGAGCCATCTCGAACAAATCGGTTTGCAATTGCTTGCGTGTGACATCCAGAAAGAGAAAAAAAGCCCTTCTATCTAGCCCCGACAATTGATTGCCTGCATACAACGGGAGTGCCCTCCTGGCAACAGCGTCGTCGAGAGTGGCAGCGCCAGGCCCAGGCCCAGGCCCAGCCCCACCATCCCCAGAGGGAAAGGACACACACATGAGGACAGACGCAAACAGCGTCGGCAGTGGTAGTGCCAGCCCCCCGCGCCCCAGCCCGGCCATCCGCGAAGGGAAAGGACACAGATATGAGCACAGACTTACGCAAGGGTATGAAGGGAACGAGAATCAACAACCAGGCGACCACTCCAGTTTCCCAAACGAGATAATCAACATGTGACAGGGTCGATTTTTATCTGTGAGCCAGAATCCAGAGTGACAGAATCGCTGTCCCGACAGTTAACGCCAAAAACCTGTACTTTAGTCTGAAACAGGTCGATGGGTTGTTCTGAACAAATTTCGTTGCAGGCTTTGGGCCTCGCTGCACCACTCTTGAAATGCACAAAAGACAAAAATCATGTCGCTGTATCTCTCCATGTTCTAGCGGAAGATTCACTCTCGTTTTGCAACTTTCAAGAGTAGTGCAGCGAGGCCCTTTGTCACACACCTTTTCAACATGAGAAACAAAGGAACGGAATGGGAAGTGCGATAACAGGAAACAGTAATAGCACAGCTTTTCCTGACGTCAGAAGTAGAAAAAGACCTGAACGCGCCTGCACTGAGCGCACGGGCAGGTACAGATCATGCACCTGGCCGTCTCCCAAATGAGAATGCATCCACTTGTTGCCATTGCCTGGCATTACAGAAATCCAGGTTCCCATTTACGTCGGGCATTTCTCGACTGAAGTCAGCAGGCAGCATTTTCAGGCACGAGTCCCTCCAGCATCACATGGGATAATCCAACGGAGAGAGTCTATGATCCCAACACTGGGCGTGCCAGACCCGTGAATAAACGTGCGGCTGTGTACGGGATTTGCTGCGCCAGGTTTTGCTGTGCCACGCTCTGCTGTGATATTACGTAAGCTTTGGTGAGTCGGCGAAACGCTTTAGATACCCCATCATTTGGCAGATAGTGTACCGTCACCCAGAGCTGACATACGCATTTGCGCAACAAACGAAGTAGAAGCAGAGCAAGAAGAAACAGAAGAACAATGCACAACATTTGCGAAACAAACAAATCGCCAAAAGGAGATCAAGAGGGAAAGACGACATTGCTTCTCTTTTTTTGGCTCCTTTTTTCTTTTCGGCTCTTTTTTCTTTTCTTTCCCCTTTTTTGTTGTATTGCCTTTCCATCTTTTTCTTCCCCGTTTCTTTTTCTTTCCCCCTTTCCCACGTACGGCTGCTAGGTTCATCATTTCTGCGTCATTGGGCGGTAAAAGTGCCCACCCACCCACCCGCCCACCCACAGATTACTTACTGTACTAATCGCACGCTTGCACCTCGCTAAGAAGAACGAGACAAGGAAACTGGCAAGGACGGCAAGAACCAGCAGCAAGCATCCAAGGCAAGAAGTCCCAGCAGCATCAAAGGCAAGAACCAGCAGCATGCTCGGAAAACACTCACAACGGGTGTCATACCGGCCCCCCATTCCACGCAAGGACGAAAGAGAGAACAAAAGGTTCGCCAGAGGAGAGCACACATTCGTTATCATACCGTCCGTCCTTTGTGGCAACCTGGGAATTTTCTATGTTCTCCGTGTACTACCGTGTCACAACCCACCCACCCACCCATCGGGACTCTGCTCCCTGCTCTGCTCCCATGACTCTGGGTCACCTCATCGTCTGTAGTGCGTGCTTAAGGTGGGCATGGGATAGCATTCCTATCTGCAGAAGTTGATCGCAGAGCTGCTTGTCATGCCTGACAAGACATGGGACACTGACGATCTGGTGAAGAAGACCTGGGAATGACAGAGGGGAGAAGAGTTTCACCACCAAGTTCGGGATGGATTGGTGTGGTTCCACTACGCCTAAGATACCAGGATATCAACAGATGGCCTCTACTACGACCTTCTTATTTTATGTTATACTCAAGAAGATGTACATCATTTATAATTTCCAAGACGAATAACGGGGTGGAGCTGATCAGAATGGAGTTCGTCGAAGGAGGAGGAGATTGATTGCACCGCTCGAACGAACGAGCGAGCGAGGGAGCGCATGCGTACCGAGGCATCCCACTGCCTTATCGTTCCGTCTTCACCGCAGCTGATGATGGTTGTATTCAAAGGGCCCCACACAGCTCGGGTCACCCTTCCGACATGACCCTTGATAATCTCGATAGAATCCTGCGTTTCTGCACACAAACGGAGAAAATAAAAACAGAGCAGAGCAAGATAAAACTCGAAACTGTCAATCACCCACTCGGGCCACAATCGGCAAGACATACGATAAAAAAACTCTGTACAGCGGCGAAGAAGGCATATAGTACACAAGCAGGCGGCTTCATCTCACGTCATCGTCATGTTCCACCTGCTTCCCTCCCACCCCAACCCCCCCCCCCCCCTATTCGAAGCGCACACACATTACGCATCCTCCTCCTCAGTGTGACTATCATTATATCACCGGCAGACGCCCACACGCGTGGCGATGGAGAGAAGCGTATCAGCCCGTAAAATCCCGACTACGCTGCTCCTCGCCCTTGCCCTGTATTCTATCCTATGCCGGATTACAGATAGACTTGCGGCTCTGATTCTCGCGCTTTTTTCCCCTCACACTGCACCGTTCCCCACAATCCGCCTATCCCCCCCTAATCGTTGGCCTGCTTCCACTCATCCCTCATTCGTCTGTTAGTGGATCTGTTCCGAGCCCTGGTTCTCATGCTGGCCGCCACCCTGGCCGGTCTGTTTCTGGTCCTGGCGCTGCTCCACGTTCTTGTCTTCCATTTATTTTGTGGTCGTGCACTGCTTCCCTGGTCTTCGCACAATCTCGACCACTCGTCGAAGAACAAATCGCCGATCGATTGAGACCCATCCGTCGCTCCTGCGCCCTAAGGGGCGAGCCGCGCACGAGTATACAACTATTAACGTCCGAGCTGTAGCGATTGATTTACCCTGCATGCGCGATTACTTGGTACATGGTATGAATTCACTTGTCGCGTTCAGCATACGTGACAGGGGATTTATGATAAGTTCATCTGATGAAGCCACCTACGCCGACGGGGGAGAATCAATATGCAGCCGAGAAAGCGGGAAGTATAGGGCGAGGGAGGGGAAAGACCCGCGTGAAGATCAGAAGAGAATAGCGAAGAGACGGACGGCTGAAAGGGAGACGGCAGGAGGGAGGAGCGGGGGAACAGGGGAAAATATGTGAGCAAAGGGGAGAGTGAGGCGACAGCGGTGAAAACGGGCACGCGCGGGAGAGAACGAGAGAGATCGAGAGTGACGGAGTGAGAGCGAAAGCGAAAACGGGAGATATATAAAGGGGAGGAAAATGAGAGAACTGGGAGGCAGAGGGAGAGCAAGGAGAGCGAGAGACGGCCAAGAGGGTGTAAAAAGCGGGCAGGGAAGACAAGGAGTAGAGGGGAGAGCGATGGGGGAGAGAAGTGGAAGAGATGGGGAAGAGATGGGGGAGGGAGACGGGGAAGGGAGACAGATTGGTAGTTCTGAGCGAGAAAGCACGAGAAAAGCGGAAAAGCGGGACAACGAGAAGAGAGCCGCTGCGTTCAAAGGTGAGGGCTAAAATACTTACGCTCCGTTCGCTCAGCTTCGACCCGCTTGATGTGGATGGCCGAAGGAGCTCCCATGAAAGGATCCGTTGTGATCAGCAGCAACTTTTCGCCCTCTGAAAACGCGACCGACCTGGCGGGAGTCTCAAAAGTGAAGGAATATAACTGGACACCCGTTTCCACATCCCACAACTTCGCCGATTGATCGGCTGAACCAGTGACCAGAAATCTCGAGTCACCTGCAAGAATCAACAGAATCCCCCAGCCAAGCACAGAACCCCCCCCCACACTCCCAACAACCCCCTTCCGCAACCTCTCTCCACCTCCAATCCCCCAACGCTCCGCTTTGGCCGTTCGGAAAGCAGGCGGGACAAATTCCGACATCGCCATTCAGGAACATAACGAGAATCAAAAAAACAATCCTCGTAAGTACCAGCATAATTACTATCATCATCGAAGTTCATTCGCCATCTTCATCATCACCAACCCAATCAACGTCACCTCATCGTTTAGGTCATTAATTAATCAGCATCTCGGATACCAATACTTTCACAACAGACCCCATCGTCTTCTACCCACTACAACGACTGTGCTCTTAATGCGTTGTTATCAGGATTCGCGCAAGTTTAATACAAGACCCTATCCTATTCATTTCATTTGACTTCAGTACCAGGCTAGGCTATGCATGGACTACTAAGGTCCCAGCAAAAAAAAAACTATGTTATGCAGAAAAATAAACTGAACAACTTTTGCCTCAGAGTCACATCGAAATTCTTTACCAAATTTAAAATTTAAATTTAAATTTAAAAGTAATTTTCATTTTTTTATTTTTTTATTTCTTTTTGGCCCGGCCGGGCAGGACCCGGGCCACTCTGGTCGCCTAGGTACCAGGGCAATTTTCGTTTCCATCTTCTTCCTCGTCGCAGTCTGCTCCCGATTTTTCTATATTCAACCCTCGTCGGCGCCTGCTCCTGCATATTTCTCATCTCTCACTTTCGGTTTGAGAGCAGCCCCCACAGCTCCCCTTCCACACTCCCCTCTCCTCTCTCCTACTCCGTTCACTCCCTATCCAACCCGGGTTTGGAACCCCTTTCCTGGTCACCCCAACTCCTCGGCATTCAACAATCAGCCAATCCGTCTTCGGCTCTCTCATCACGGCTTCTCCCTAACCCATCTAGCCACCAATCCTGCTGCTGCCCCTTTCGCCCTTCTCCTCCCATTGCTACTCCCCAGCTACATATTTTAATAAACCCTCAGAGTGTGTTTCATCTCTCTCTACTAGCTTGCTTATTTTGATTGAGAAAAAAAGAGCTGCCGACTCTCTTCAGTAGTGCAACGAAGAGGTAATACCGACACGCCTCCCCTCCCCTCAACTTCTCTTTCTACCAGCTACCACATCTCTTTTTTTGCTCGCCTTTCTTGATTCTTTTCAATCTGTTTCAGAACTCTTCATCACGCCGCCACCAGCTCTCCCTTTCCTGAATCGCGCGTCGCTACCCACCAACCATCCTCCCAGACAATTTTGCTCAGCATCTTCTGCGCAGCTTACCACTCTTTCTTTCTCCATCCCTGTTCCCTCCCGTAATACAGTTCCTCCTCTCGTCCTTCCAAACTCCATGACCTCTCATCAGATTCCCTTCTCTGCTTAAGCCATTCGCCTCTTCAACATCTCGATATACTCCGCCCTCCTTCCCGATTCAGTAGCTCGCCGCTCTGCCGTACTCCCTGTTACTCTCTCTCTCTCTCTCTCTCTCTCTCTCTCACACACACACACACACACGTGCTGAGCCCTTATCAATCAGTCAAATGCATACTGGGCAGACTGTCGAGGTTCAACCTCCTGATGAGTCGGTGGAAATCGGAAGAAACAGTGCGGCACAGTTGTGCTTTTTCTGTGGTTGTCTGTAGCGAACATGACAACACACGCATACAAAAAAAGAAAAAAAACTGCGCGCTCGCAGACACACGACCATAGTACGCCCACGTACACAAAATGGCTTGAACATACACACGCGCCGCACACACACAGAGGAAGCAACCGGGGAGAAAGGGGATAAAGGTGTGCGAGGCACTCACGAGTCACATCACAGCACCATACGGCTCCGTTATGCCCCTTGTAGTTTCCCAGCCTTTCTCCATTGTCTGCGAACCATACGTTGGGGTTGTGATCTTTGGCGCAGGAAAAGAGAAGATCGCCATCTCTGTTATACTTGAGAAAGGTGAGAGGTCTCTCATGCCCCTTCAACAAAATTGGCCTCATTTTGAACGGCGTGTATGAGGTATGGAAAGCAACACTGCAACCAGTTAAACGACAACAGCAGCCGTGTCACACCCGTGTATAGAATGAACGCTGACCACCACTCAATTCCGCTGTAACAATATGAGGAAAGCTTCTGAGAGACTGCAGCACGAAGTGCGACAGGCGGAAGACGAAGTGTGCGTGCGTCGATGGCGTCGAGGGGGCGAGGAGCAATCCGTTCAAGCCTACTCCTCGAAAAGGACCGACCTGCACGACGGGGGCTCACCTTTCCTTCGGGGACCGTGTGTAGGAGTCGCTCGCCCTCTCGCCAATTTCGGTGTGCGGCCGGCGGCCTACATCAGTTTGTTAGGCATGCCAGTGACGTTCAGGAGGGCTTGGGTTCAAACCCTGACTGGCTGCCACAAACTGAGATAGTGCGGATTGGAAGGGTCTTGTTTCTTTTCCCCTCTCTCTCTTGTAAAAGGGCCACAGGCTATTGATGTGAGGGACGCTGGGCCCGGTTCCCAGCTTGCAATAAAAAACCTCAATCTTTTTTTGTAAAACCAAAAAAAAAGGGCCACAGCCACCGAGAGAGGTAACCTCCCTTCACCGAAGAGAGGTAGAAAGCTATGCCTGCAGGGGTCCCCTGTATAGCCTTAGGAGAGTAGTGGTGGGTTCTGAAAAGAAAGCTATGAGAGGTGAGAGAAAAATATATGGCTGTCCCCCGATGAGGAGAAGGCACACTACCTCCACGAGTGTTGAGAAAAGTGGCTGTTTTCCCAATTTTTCCAAAGTTTTCGGGCCGGCAGAGGGTAGGCGTCCGAGGAAAGAAAACAAACAGTAATTGTTTTTGGAGGGACATGTGGGCCAGGTAGTCGGACAAGTTGCAGACCTGGTTTCTTCCTGGACGGGTTAGGTCCTGGAGGATCCCTGCAGGCCCTACCGGGAGGGTTTGGTACCCGTGGTCGGCCATCGAAGCATGGCGGTTGTACATGGCAGGCCTGCACAGCGGACGACCGTCGTCGCTGTCCAGGAAGCTTCCCTCGCCAGCAATGGAGCGCAGACCAAGCACGTCGGCGTGTGGGATTCGATGGTAGCCGCACCATCGACCCATTATAGCCTTCGTCCTGCTCTCTCTCTCTCTCTCTCTCTCTCTCTCTCTCTCTCTCTCTCTCTCTCTCTCTCTCTCTCTCTCTCTCTCTCTCTCTCTCTCCACGGACATTTGTGCTCCCGCCGTCGTCGAGTCGTCGTTCGTAGGCGAGGACAGCCGAAGACAGCCCCGGCGAGAGTAGCCCCATCGCAGTATTGACCAAACGTTGTGAAATGGAGAATGTATCTTCAGCAACAGCGGGATCGGCTGCGAAAGATACATTGTTGTGAGCCTTTCCCACCCTCCTTTCTTCTCTCTTCCCGCCCCCAACTCCGTAACCTTTATAATACCCTCACATACCCATGCCTTCTTTATGACCTGAATTTCGCACTATTCCTCACTGTCACCACGTCAACTAGTCATCCCTTGCATACTCCCCACCTCGCATTGTTTAGTCTCATCCCTCGTTTACCCCTCGACACCCCCCCTCTCGATCTCTCTCCTACATCCCACCCCCCTTCCATTGACCTTCTGATAATTATTAATGTACTAATTAAGGATCTGACTGAACTCCTATTTGTTTATGAAGATGTTTAAGAATTTATACATGTGTGTACGTATTTGTCTTTGTGTGTGTCATCCACTAATCTACACCCTAGCGCTTTGTCACCAACCTCCATTGTTTACCCTTCCACTCCTACGATGATCTAGATTTATTGTTATGGAAAAAACAAAACGATTATTGATGAGTTAACCTCCACCTCTCTCTCCAATGGCCCTTCCCTCCACACCCTTAACCATCTCCACGTGTTATATAACTACTACACCCATTGACTGCTCGTATCTTCCAACCCATTTCTGTGTTTTTTTATTGCAGTAATATACCCTAACCTGCTTATGGTTCTTGCCGCCCATCACACCATGCTCGAAAAACCCTTGATCACACATGACATTCCCCCATAAAATCCTCCACCCATCAACCCAAATCTTCAATGATTACACATTATAATCTTATAATCTCTCTCTTTCTTTCTTTTTTTTCCTCTCTCTCTCTCTCTCTCTCTCTCTCTCGCGCGCGCGCGCGCTGCCCCACTTTTGCATAGAATATTAGAATGGCTCATGCGCAAGGTAGAGATACATAAATAAAGTAAATCGAGATCGCAACTTGAAGCAAGGGAAGGAGGAGGATCCACAAGGCGAGAAGAGAGAGAGGGGGGGGAGGGGGGAGAGAGAGAAGAGGGGGGAGGATGGGGATCGCTAGGCTCAAACCAACGGATGCTCAAGCCGTTGAAGCGAGATTGAGCCAGCAGCCAACAACTATGCAGATTGAGTTCTTTAAAATCTCTCTCTCTCTCTCTCTCTCTCTCTCTCTCTCTCTCTCTCTCTCTCTCTCTCTCTCTCTCTCTCAC